GCGCGCCCCCCTGCCCATTCTCAGTGGCGGTCTTAGCGCGCCCCAGGGGCAGCGCTTGCACACCACCTGGAGCGGGGGATCAAACACAATCCCTGTGTTTGGCTGAGCAGGTGCTTTATTCCGCTGAACTATAATGCATGATATCTTGATCACTGAAGATACATGATCACTGAGGACATTTTGAAGAATACACGGAGATGTAAAAGGCATAAAAAAATCACCTGAAATGTAATAAATTCACATAAAAAGTAGTAACTTTTTGTTTCTCTGTCTCACAACCTCTCTGTCTCTCCCTTTATATTTTCATCTCTTGTCTCTATCTGTTGGAGGGATTTTTCTCTGGACACACGTGTGCACTCATACACCGCACTGGAGCAATAATATTGGGGTATGGCTCTCCCAAAATGCTTGAGGTTGAGACACAGATAAAGGAGAATGTAGACACTATCCCATGGAAATTGGGCACTTGAAGTGGAGAAATACTATAACCTGATTCAGCTGTCAAGGAGATACTTTAAAAGTTCTATTGTGATTTGAAAGAAAAAGTGTTTCTCCACTGCTTGGAGAATGAATTGAGAGTGGATGGCAGTGACTGCTGGCAGGCAGCCAAGCTGAGAGGTTGACGCTGCAATCTGGAAGCCAAATAATGAAGGATAGAATAAGGGAGAGCCAGCAGTAATGGGACAGCAGGAGGAAGGACATCAGAAAGGGTGAGGTCACAAATATGAGGGTAAGATTTGGGTCTGAATTCCAAGGGATCTCTATAAACTGTAAGGAAATGCATAAGGGTGCACTTCAGAGTGTGCATGTGAGGGCCTGTCAGGCTCAGACATGTACTAAACACAACAGTGTACATGATACATAACCTAGATGAATGCTATACAGCCATATATAAAATTTTATATTGAAATATATATGCTTATACAGAGAAAGAATCATATAGGTGCAATTGAAAAATATCGATATAGGCTTAGACTTTATGTACACTGTATATATTAGCATGCATTTTTTCAAAAGCACTTTACATTAAAATATGTTTTCTATCGACAGTGTTTTATTTATTTATTTATTTATTTTGCAGTTCTGGGGATTGAACTCAGGACCCTGCACTTGCCAGGCAAGCACTTATTCTACTGAGCTATCTCCGTGACCCTCAACAGTGTTTTAAATGTTCATGGTTATTCTATCCATGAAACTTTTTCTTTGTTAACAGTTAGGTCCTTTCACAAAACAAGTAGAAGGTACTTCAGGAATCTTTTATACATTGATTGAATCTCTAACTATTATCAGAGTAATCCATGAAATTTACTGTTATGTATTTATTTTCTTTCCAGCAACCCCGCGAGCTAACAGTCTATGGCCTCATCAACAGATCCTCCTGAACATGAGTATCGGGTCCTTGCACCTTAATCACCTTCACCCACCTCTGCACACAGGGGATTTGGGTACATTTTAGGTGCCAACCAGGATACTTGCACACGGTTATGGAGTAAATCACAATTTATTTCCTTGAAACTATTTCCTACACAAGCCCACTGAAAAGAATTGGTCAGGAAGAGAGGGAAGAGAGTGTCTCCTGTAGGGGTTAGCAAAACAACAACAACAACAAAAAATCACACACAAAAAAACCCCAGAAAAATCACTGATTAGAAGATGAAAGTTATTTCTTTTTTTTTTTTTAAATGTGAGAACTTTTTATTGCCTAAGATACACAAAGATG